TGACTGAGCTATGCCCCCAAGCCCTAAAAGGTCTGAACAGCTTAATAGTCAAGTCAATCCAGAGTGGTACACGACTGTTTCCTAAGCATGTAGAAACTCAGAGAAGAGCCAACAGCAAGGTTGACTGATGCCATGTCCCAAGTGATTACCGAGAATAGAGTATTTCTAGGTCCCCAATAGTTAAGATAATTCCAGAGTCCCAATTTCCAGTACAGCTATTCGGAAAACCAGTTTTTGTTTACTCATTCTTTGTTTAAAAACTTTAAGAAGCTTACTTTATTTATTTTGTGTGCAGAAATGTACATGTATGTGTGTACCAAGCACTTGTGTGGAAGTCAGAGGACAACTCCTTCTACCATGTGGGCTCTGGAGATCAAATTCATGTGGTCAGGCTTGGCAACTGGCACCTTTACCTACTACGCCATCTCACTGGACTTCTTTTTAAATGAAGTATCTTACACATCTCTTTGTTGAGAGTTTAGATCAGGAAACAAATGCTTGAACACTGGCATAGGCATTATAACCTGACCAGTTGTAACAGGCTCTCACCTGTTCTTCCGGGTGACTAACTCTGTGAAAGCATTCTTTTTGCTATGTACAGTAAAACTAACTTCCTTAGGATCTGAACGTAACCCCCAGCGCTCGCCCGCGCGGTCTGGCCACGGCCTTCCCGCTGCCGGCACCATGGGTCCCAGCTGCGACTCCTCAGTGTGAGCTGAGTGGATTGCAGCCGTGACATTTGCTGCTGGGACAGCTGCTCTCGGTTACCTGGCTTACAAAAACTTCTACGTTAAAGATAATCGTAACAAAGCTACGGTGAACCTTCAGATCCAGAAAGACAACCCCAAGGTTGTGCACGCTTTCGACATGGAGGACCTGGGAGATAAGGCTGTGTACTGCCGCTGCTGGAGGTCCAAAAAGTTTCCGTTCTGTGATGGGGCTCACATAAAACATAATGAAGAGACTGGAGACAACGTGGGACCTCTGATCATCAAGAAAAAAGAAACTTAATGGACATTTTCAGTGCTGCACCCCAAAGTGTTGTGACGTCACCTGATTGTTTAATTAGAATTAATTAATTAATGAGATGCTCACTCTGTCTGATTGGCCTTCCTGGGTTCTAGATATGGTTGGTACCTTGCAAATCACAGCTTTCGTGTTCATGGCATCGGCCTTTCTGTTGGAACATCGCAGTGCACATTTGTTGAAAGAAGGAGGAGATAAAAAAGAAAGGTTAAACCAACATCATGGTATATGGGTTATTTTGGTCTTGCAAGGATCCGTTCCTTTACAATAATGGTCTTAGAATACAGTTGTATCTTGAGATTAATGTATTAAATTATTCTCAAAATAAAAAAAAAAAAAAAAGATCTGAATGTAGAGCTAAAAAGATGGCGGCTCAGTGGTTAAAAGCACTGGCTGCTCTTCCGGAGGACCCAATTCCCAGCACCCACATGGTAGCTCACAATCGGCTGTAATTCCAGTTTTAGGTGATCTGACCCCAATACCGGCAGGCATGTTATATACATATGTACATGCAGGCAAAATACTCATACACATACAGTAACACTTTTAAATAAAATAATTGGAACATATGGTAGTTTCAGACATTAATACTCGCCTTCCTAAAACTATGCTCTAATCAGTTTGATTAGAGCTCACTTTTCCATAGTTTCAGTCACTCGATTTTATGTATAGCATTTCCAGATAGCTAGCTGACTTCATTAAGTTTTGAGCCTTCTGAATTTCCTTCTCTGAGATCCTTAACTTGAAGCTGTGATTTATCAATGCCCTGGATTTCATCAATGAAAGTCTAACTATAAGTAAAATACACAAAGGCTGGGCACAGTGGTGCATGCCTTATCATTAATCCCCACTTGGGAGGACGAGGCAAGAAAAACATAGCCTGGCCTACAAGAGGCCCTGTCTCAAAAATAAATAAACCAAGGGCTGACAAGATGGCTCATTAGTTAAAAGCATTTGCTGCTATTCCAAAAACCTAAGTTCTGTGTCTGGCAGCTCACAAACTACCTGTCTATAACTCTAGCTCTAGGGAATCTGACCCCCTCTTCTGGCACAAGCTCACACATTCACTTACACACACACACACAGACAGAGAGAGAGAGAGAGAGAGAGAGAGAGAGAGAGAGAGAGAGAGAGAGAGAGAGAGAGAGAGACTAGAAAGAAGGCTCTGCAGTTAGGATACTTGCTGCTCTTGCAAAGGATCCAAGTCTGTTTCCTAGCAACCATATAGCAGCTTATAACCACCCACAACTACAGTTCCATGAGATCTGGTGCCCTCTTCTGGCCTCTGTGGGCATACACACAGTGCACTTGAACATACAAGTAAAACACTCATACACATAAAATAAAAAAATGTTTAAAAATAATTAGGACTGGCAGAATGGTGCATATTATATTTAATTTTCATTCAATTTATTCATTTTATAGTGTGTATGCTTTGCCTGTATGTATTTGTACTATCTGGGTGCTTGATGCTCTTAAAGGCCTAAAGAGAGCATCAGATTACCTGGAAAATGAGTTATGGGTAGTTGTGAACCACTGTGTGGGTAGTTTCAATGTAATCGGCCCCATAAGCTCATAGGGAGTGGCACTATTAAGAGGTGTGGCCTTGGTGGGGTAGTTATGACCTTGTTGGAGGAAGTATGTCACTGTAGGGGTAAGTTTGGAGGTCTCATATGCCCAAGCCATTCCCAGTACCTCAGTCCACTTCCTGCTGCCTTCTGATCAAGATGTAGCCAGCATCACATCTGCCTACACACTGCCATGCCTCCATGCACAAAGATCACCACAAATTTGAGGCAAGCCCAGGATTATATAAAAGTTACAAGTTCCACACCAGTCAGGGCTATGTAGTAAGACCTTGTCTTACAAGTACAAATAAGGCTGGGAACAGATTTGTTTGGTAAAACCCAACTAGCCCAGGTTCCTTCATTCCCTAACACCACATAAATCAGGTATGGTGGTACATACAGGTAATTCCAGAACCTGGAGATGGAGGCAGGAGTTCATCCTTAGCTAAGTAAGGAGTTCGAGAGTTCGAGGCTACCTTGGACATGAAGTCCTGTCTTTATTTACAAAAAAAAAAAAAAAAAAAAAAATCTGAAAGTTGTCTATAATATAATATTATATATTGTCTATAATATATAAGTTGAGACGAGAATTCCAAAACAACAGTATGAAATATATATGCATACACACACACACACATATATAAGTTTTTAAATTCTAGAAGCCATGTATGGTAGTAGTACATGCCCATAATTCCAGCACCTGGAAGGCTAAGAAGGTACCAAACCCATGCTTACCACACCCTCTTCTCCCAGGGATTTTTTTTTCCCCCACACTGTAATGGACTTTATAGTGTAGCGGGAAATAATGGAAGGGAACACAAGTTCCATAAATTCCTCACTGCCACTTGCCTGTCCTAATAACCCTGCTACCTTCATAAGTCCAAGCAGGAAAGACTAGACCTAGCAGGCACATTTCTCTGCCTTCTGTCTCTACTCCGTTACATCCTACAGAGAGCTTTACTCCATTCAAATCTCCTACACTCCCAGTTCCATGAGAACACTGCCCCCCCCAGAGGGGTACTAGGGCCCATGCTCAAGTAAGAGCTCTGCCATTGAGCTACATCCCCAGTCCTGTTTTATATTATTTTATTTTAAAGAGCATCTCCCTGGGTTGCCCAGGCAGACCTGGAACTCCCTCTGCAGGCCTTGAATTGCAATCCTCGCCTCAGCCTCCCAAGTAACTGGGATTACACACCCGTGCAACACGATCTAATTTGAAACCCTAATATTCACTATTATTCAAAGATTCCGGGTCGCGGGGATCCCAACTACAATTCGAGGCCCAAGGTGGCATTGTACAGCATATGTGCCTTTTTAATTGCCCCAGGGAAATTCCCCCAAGCTCCAACTAATCTGTTCACTATCCCCAACAAACTAGCAGTACACCTGGCCTGGATTACATCCACACATGGCCAGATTCCATGACTTCAAAGATCAGTCCAGATCCCCTAACCCACCTCTGCCTCTCTGTTCCTGACTGTCCACTGTCAAGCTCATCGCTTGTCAAATGGTTCCAAATCAGAGGTGCTTGGAAGGCAGATCACACAAAGCCCATCACAGCATTCGGCAGGTCCTAACTACCAGAAAAATCAGGTAGGCTTCAAATAATGACCTAAGTAGAGCAAGATAATACTGCCTATCTCTCTCGATTCACAGTAAAGAAAACACCTTACACCTTTATTACGAGACTGAAATTTTGTAGTATACACAGAGCGGGGTAAAAGTGGAGGGAGCACGCCACTAACTGGGGGAGGGGGGGACGACGGGACACAGGACGTGCATCCTAAGCCTGGCTTTGCCATAATCTCTGCAATTGTAAGAGAAACCACTAAAATCTCTCTGAACCCGTGTTGTTTGGGGTGTGAAACCGGGCAGATGCTGTGTGGGATCCCAAGGTATCTTCGGGCTCCCAAATCCCCCTTGTCTGCTCAGCCCCAACAAGGCAGACAAACTTTTACAGTACCCAACGCTCATTGCCCTGGTCCAGGAAACTCGGTCCCCTCGGGGACAGCGCTGCAGGGTGAGGAGCGTTCTCCCACGACTCACCGGATCCCCTCACCTCTGGCACCGGGGCCCGCCTCAGGTGGCCGGCCGCTCACGGAGGACAGCCGGAGTGCGCGGCTCCGGGAGCGGCCGGGCAGTCTCGGGCAGCCCCGAGCCCCCCTACACTGGTGGCGTCCGCCCAGCGATCCCAGGGCACCGTCCCGGTCCTCCCTCCCCGCCAGGCCCGACCCTTCCCGGTGCCCGGGGGCGGCCTCGGCGCGGACGTCCACGCACCCGGCGGGCCGGACTGGCAGCGTGAGGGGCGGCGGCGGCGCTAAGTGCTGAATCACCACTTTGCAGCAGCACACGGCACCGCCACGGTGACCCGCGGGCCGCGTGGGCCCGGGCGCTCGGGGCGCTTACCCACACTGTCGCTTCGCGGCGGGCGGCGGGCGGGCGCCGAGGATGGAGCGCAAGGTGCTGGTGAGCGCGGGGTGCAGCAGCCACGCGAGCCCGTTCCGCATACCCCGGCGCAGCCGCTGCGATCTCGGCGAACGCTTCCTTTTGGCGCTGGGAGCCGGCCCTGCGCATTGCGCATGCCCAGTCGGCCGCGCCGCGCCGCCTCTGGGGAGCCGGGGACCGGCCTCCGCTCCGGGTTTTACGCGCAGCCGGGCGGGAGGGGACGGCCGCAGCCTCTGCGGCGGCTGGCTGGCAGGTGGGTCGCGGTTCTGGTCCCCCAACCTCAGAGGGCCAGCACCTAACCCCTCGTGGGCCCGCAGGGTCCCAGCCCGGCTCCTCCCCGGCGCCCCGCTGAAGCCGAGGGTTGCCTGGCTGTGTCGTGGGGAGGACGCACTCGGCGCTGGGTCCCCAGGCAGGATCGCGGCCCAGCAGGTGTTGGAACGAAGTCCTCCCAGGCCGCTACCCCTCCGAAACGTATCCGCTGCCGAAGCTGGGCCCGCGGGCTCCCTCTAGAGCGCGGAAGGAACGTGGGCTGCGGAAGCAGCGGCGCTTGGAGACCTGTCGGGTTAGGGAATAAGGACAATTCAGATCTCGGGGGGGGGGGGGTGGGGTGATCCACGAGCCAGGGCAGGCCTCAGCAAAACAAGGCGTCTGTAGACTTTCGGATCCAGAAGAGGAAACTTGTTTTTGAGACGGGGTCTCAGGACGCTAGGCAGGCCTCTTCTAGTTCACTAGTGACTGAGGATGACCTTGAGCTTCCGTCCTCCCAAGAGCTGGGGTTACCAGTGTGCTCCACGCACCAGCCCAGAGTGGGAAACCATTGCTATCTAGTGCTGCCAATTATACTGCCAGTGGACTTAGGTTATTACTTCTTTTTCCTGAGACCGGTTCTCACTACGCAGCCCTAGCTGGTCTGGAGCTAGATATGAAAACCAGTCCAGCGCCAAAAGGTCATTACTTTTTAAAGACATGACTTTTCTCCCTGGCGCTGTCTTGGTGCTTTGCATCCAAAGATAGCCTTATAGTGGTGATGAATAGGAATTTAAAGGCAGGTCAAGATCGGTGCACGCGCAGGGGGTGGGGGGTGGGGAGGAGGTATATCCTCAGATTAACTACTTTAAACACTGTAGCCAAACACAAGGTTCTGACTCCTATTATTGCTACAAATACAAACACAGTGGAAGTGGGTACTCTCTGAGATACACTGTGTATTTTAAGACCATTGTGGAGGCCTGGAGATACAGATGGGCAAAAAGATTTTACCAAGACCAGAGTGAGCAAGCAGAACATTTATTGAAATATATTGCAAGCCTGGCAGTGCTAGTACATGTCTCTAGAGGCAGAGACAGAGGCAGGTGAGTTCGAGGCCAGCCTGGTCTACAGAGCTAGTTTCAGGACAGACTCCAAAGCTACACAGAGAAACACTGTCTCAAAAAACAAACAAAAAAGAAAGAAAAGAAATACATTGCAGAGGCTGAAAACATAGCTTAGTCAGTATAGTCAGTATAGCGTATCCCTAGCATGCAGGAAACCCTAACACGTCAATAAAGCCTTGTGTGATGGTGCATACCTGTAATCCAAACACTTAGGAAGCAGAGATGAGTGGATCAGAAATTCAAGATAATCTTTGGCAATTTGCTGAGTTTGAACCCAGTATACAGGAGACCCTGTCACCAAAAAGAAGAGGAAGAGAGAGGGTATACTACAAGGGCCAGCAAGATGGTTCTGTGGGTAAAGGTGCTTGCTATCAGCCTGCTGACCTGAGTTCAATCCCTGGGATCCGTGTAAAGGTAAAAGGAGATAACTGATTCCACAAAGCTGTCCTCTGACCTCCATACACATTCTTCTGTGGCACAATGAACATACACACAATTTTTTTTTTTTTTTTGAAAGCAAATACACTGGAAAGACCCAACACTACCAGAGACGTAATGGATTTGGATTCCACTCCTGCTGGGAAGTTGAGGCTTCATGGTGCCTCTAGAGTGACTACTGGGGCCTTCTAGATTATAGATAGGAGATAATTTTAATATTCATCTCTATAGTTGAAATTCTCATTAAGAATGGAGTAGGAGCCTGGCATTGGTGGTGCACGCCTTTAATCCCAGCACTTGGGAGGCAGAGGCAGGTGGATCTCTGTGAGTTCGAGGCCAGCCTGGTCTACAGAGCTAGTTCCAGGACAGGTTCCAAACAATATAGAGAACCCTGTCTCAAAAAACATAAAACAAAACAAACAAGCAAACAAAAAAGTAGGAAAATCTGAGTATTGGCCAGAGTTATCAATTAGTTGTCTGTTCTAAAACTCAATTGTTTGTGGCTAGGGATCCAAACTTTGGAATATGTTGTAGGAATGTAGCAAGAATCAACATATCTGGGGTAGACATTAGAAATGAACAGTTGTTTTTAAGAAGTACTTTGGCCTTGAAGATCCTTGTGGAAAACAGTGATTATTTTCTGTGATTTGTAGAATTGTTTTGCTGAAGAGGCATTGCAGCCATCCCATTACTTTGATCACAAGACACTCAGGCACACCTGAGGCTCTTGTATTATTCTGTATTGCAAATGATACATAATAAAGGACTGAAGTCCTGAGGGCATGTGATGCTGTCCTTAAGTAAGACATGTAAACTAGATTAGGAACCTTGGTATGAGGAAATACTTTGGGTAACAATATATATACACCTTTGTATGGCTATTGGGGGTTCAGTCCATTAGAGATGCTGAACCTTTCTGCTGCCATATAGGCCCTAAAATTTCATCTTGGAGTGCCTTTTTTCTTCAACCAACCCTGACAAGAATATCAGGCATTTGAAACTTGGTTTTTGCTACATTTTGGAACAAGTGTATGAAAGCAAGAGTGCCTTCTTCAGAAAAGAATGTAGGTTGTAAAAAGCATCAGTGGATAGAGAGTCTGAGATGCCAGCGACCTGGGCATCAGTGATGGCGACCAGCGTTTGTACAGCAGTCCACTCCCCTCCCCCAGTGCAAAAGAATAGCGCTGATTGACACAATGTAGAAAGTAGTAGTCTGTCTCCTTAAGGCTTACTCCAGTGGCTGGCCACAGGACCTAGTCATGTCAACAGCTGGCCAGAATGGAAGGATCCCAGAGGCCCCAATGAAATCTTTTGGCCTGGCACCAACCAGGGAAGTATACATTAATACAGATTTCTGGGTAGAGGACCAATTGTGAGGTGCCCGACTGTTCAGGTCTCCAAAAATCAAGCGAAAAGTGGGTCACACTTGGTTGTAGATGGAACTACAGTTAGTTTTTTTGGGTGTTTGTTTGTTTGTTTTTAACATTTCTCCTCCTCCCCTCTGGGAGCGGGGATGTATGTTTCCTAAGGTAAACATGGGGAGGTCAGAAGAGAATTCCAGAGTCAGGTCTCCCTCCACCCAGCATGTCTGGGTCAGGGGCCCACATGTTACATTTATCAGAATGCCGATGGTCTCTTCTACTGTTAAATATTTACCTTTGGTATTATTAAAAGGCCAAAAAGAATCATTAAGAAGTTTAGTTATGTTGGGTGATGGTGGCACATGTCTTTAATCCCAGCACTCTAGAGGCAGATCTCTGTGAGTTTGAGGTCAGCCTGGTTTATAGAGCAAGTGCCAGGTCAGGCTTCAAAGCTACACAGAGAAACCCTATCTTGAGAAAACAAAACAACCACAACAACAACAAAAGAGCTTAGTTAGTTTAGCATTGTTGTCTCAGCATAAGTTGACAGATCAGTATAGGAAGTATCAACAAACTGTTTATCATATGGCTTCCATCCAGAAACACCAATATTGGCACTCCATAAAGAGAAATTTTGATTGCATAAAGTATATAGGACTGACAATAACAGTCCATTCCTGATAAAGGGTGTCAAAAGATTATCTTTTATTATCAAGCAACATTCATGTACAAATATAACAAGACAAAATGGGAATCTAAACTGAATCACCAGCCTCTGCTTGCCTACACCACAGCTGTTCTCGTTTGAAAGGGCCTATGCATCCCTCGGACCTGTCTTTTCTGTCAGTTACATCCATTCCCAATGAAAACCCCACCTCTGGATCAAAAATGCACCTTTCATTTGACTAACAGAGCAGTAATAGAATTTCCATAACATTACCCCTTTTTGTCTAATTAAGAAGGGAAGGTTCTAACCCTAACATAACAAAACTATGTACAATAAGAATTATTATCAAGTGTTGTCCAGATAGAAAGCTAACAACTTTAACAAAAGTGAAATACAACAAGAACAATTATTAAGTAAGAAATACATTCCAAATGTCTAGTTTATAAGTAATTGGCAAAATTATAGAGATTACTTCAATAGCTGTCCTCTTCTGGAGAGTCCAAAGTTTTGTACCTAATATGTCTTTTGCCAAGATTCAGGGGAATTGTAACTGTCCCGTCTTCAACCCCATCAAAGACCTGAGAAGGAAAATAATATTACCTGAGTAAGCAGGAAGTACAAGCAAGTGACTTCCAACAAAATGTAAGAAATGGCAGAAACAGCCCAAGCTTCCTCTACAATGTTGGGGTAACCATCTTTGGCCTACAGGCCTGGAATATCTACAGACCTTTTTCAGAAGCAGAAAAATTTGAAGGACTGTCCTATCATCTTGGCAAAGTTCAGCAGTCACTTTTCTTTGTGTCCTGCTTGTCCAGTGTGGACAGGGTGCTGTCAGCAGTTGAGGGCAAGGGCAGTTTCTTGCCCTAAAGGACAGATTGTGTCACAAAGAAAGCAAACTCCTTATGGGGTATCTTCAATGCCCATCATCATCTTTAGAAGTAGATTTGTGCCAACAGGAACAGACGAGGCTCATGTCAAGAAAAGTCTAAGTTATTAAAACATTCTAAATGCCATATTCTATAAGTCTTTGAAGTGTTTGACAGTTACCTGTGTATTTGAAACATATCTCTGTATACCTCGAAAACCTAACTAACATGACTATAAGTTTGATATTTATAGGTAACTATTAACCTACATTCCTTTGTTATCCTATATAGCTTTTAAGGACTAAAACTTCACATTGCATGAATAGACAAGAGAAGAACAAGAGAAGGACGAGAGAACAAGGGGCAGCCCAAGGTAAGAAATTAGGCAGCCACAAGCCAA